ATGTTCCCTCTAAGCTGAGTTAGTGTGAGCTAGCTCAGTTTTTTAGCCTCCAGGTCACACATTTTTGCCTTAGCTAAGGAAGGATGGCTCCAAAGCAAACTAATTGATGCAGTAGCCAAATCACTCGCTTACAACTTTAATGCCAGTAGCTCACAAAGTAGAATTTTTGCTCACAAGACTCCACAGATTAGAGGGAGCCTTGGTCCCAATCCCATCCATCTCCTATAGGACTCAAGTACTGGTGGTCCTCGTACTTGTGTTCTGGTTTGTATTCCTGCATACTCCCAAGAAGGCAATTCTAGGACAAGCACTGGCTGTTGAGCTAGATGTCAAGGGACATACTTCTGTCCTAGAAAAAAGATTGGCTATTTTTCAAGATTCTTGCGGTGTCCCATTTCCAGTTTAATGTGAAAGCACAAGACCGAGATTGTGAGAAACAGTCTTCTGGATGTATCCGGACTTGCGTGGACTGCTCTGTCCTGAAAGATCTGATAATAAGTAGAGCAGCAACAAATTCTTCAATGAGGTGCTCTTTCCTGAGGTCTAAACTCAAGATGCTTTTGGATCCTCATTGTAAAAAGGCTAATCTCCTGCATAAAACTAGGACAGATTTCAGATGCCTTTAATCAAAATGCAACGCTCAATACTGGAACAGAAACCTGAAAATAATAACCTAGAGCAGCTGTCTAAAGTGCTTTCATTTACAATTAGAGCAGTTTGCCCTCCTCCCAGACTGGTGCAATCCTGACTTTAAATTAAACATATTTTTCATTTAAAAATTTAAAGGAAACTGTAAACCTTTTATAAAGCAGGCTCAAGATCAACTAAAGCAAAAGAACTGAGCATGTGTGAGAGAATTTATAGAATGGCTAAAGATAGAACATTTTAATGCTTCTCACGGGGGGGGGGGGGCACATTTACCTTCAGAGACAAGCCTATGTTGGCACGGGCGCTACAAGTCTCGATTTATTCATTTCCTGCTCCCCTCTATTTATTTAAGTTATTTATGACACGCTTAACCCACTTTTCTTTCAAAGGGGCTTATTTATTCAGTATACTCCTTTGCAGTAAAGTTGTATCTGGTCTATTTTATGAGGCCATTCACAAGACAATGGCAGGGAAGGAAGGGGGTTCCAGCTTCTCAGTCCAAGTGGGACGGACAGTTCAAGACCACCTAAGCTGAAACACTGAATCTGTTGCATTTAGTTCTTTTGACAGAATACTACAGCTGTGACAAAATTTATACTAGGACTTACAGTGCAATACCATGCAGAGTTACTCCAGTATAAGCAGAATTACTTCAGTGGACATAAACAGGAATAACACTGCATAGAACTGCACTCTTAATCACTCAAGTTTCCCAAAGGGCTCATATATATATATTTTTTAAATGTGCAATCACATCAGATGTGCTACCGGGGGGGGGGGGGGGAGCAAACCCCTGAAATTGAGATTGTCCAAATTAACCAGTAGACAGGTATAGCAAACTGTGGGACAGAGTAAACCTACCAATAAACTAACCAACCAACCCAGAATGGTATGGGAGAAATCTGTTCATTCCCTATCGGAGAGCAGTGCTTAGCATCACTGATCACACACTAGGCAACCATATGTGATCACGATAGCCGTGTGCATTCTTCTACCATACTCTTGATCCTCTGGATTAGGGCCAATATGTTGTTTTGCATAGAGTCATGAAATCTTTAGTATCCTCAGCCAGTCACTGTCTCCTGTATTTTTAGAGTTTCTGAAATAGCACTGCAGCACAAATCAGCGCTAGAACCCTTGACTAATTTGCATCTATGGACTTTTGACATTCTTGGCACTCCAATTTTAAACACTTGTGCCAGAACATCTGCCAAGAGAGATAGAGTTATGGTCTGTGATCATGCACTTAATTGCTTCTGATGTGTCCTTTAATTCAATATAATGCAATGGTTTACATAGTTATCTTATTTCCGTGGCTTTGGACTGAAGCACACATACAGTCTTATCATTGAGGGCTGTGATGAGCCTTTACAGATAACAACACAGAAAGAAGTCACATCCTCTTACATCCCCTCAACAGTACATTTCACAATAGAGTTTGTTCAGTTAACTACCAGCTATCAAATACAGACAAACCAAGTGACGTACATACATGTGTGAACCTAGCCTATACTGCAACCCAGAAGAGAGCACAGCGAGGGAGAGTGAGTGAGCTTACCTCTACTGTTGATGATGTTTCTGGGTTTTATATAAAAATGCAGAATTCTATGTCGTTGTGTCACAGACAGTGATGTGGGGTAGAGAACTTTCCAAACCAGAAAATTTTCTGATGCTGTATTTCTCTGTGGAAAATCTCCCCTGCATATGTAAATACACTGTTTTATTTATGTATTCAATTTATACCCCGCCCTCCCCGCAAGCAGGGGTACATAGTTGGTCTATAAATGACCATTGAATTCACATAAAATCAATTTAAAATTTCAAATACAGTAAAAACATTTATAGTTGTCAAGGCTGCTGTGCTGCAAATCAATCACGGTAGTTGTGCTAAATGTGGGATATGAAGCATGGACAAACTCTAGTTCCTCTGTTGCTAGCACTATTTAAATTTTGCTAATATTGTTTAAATATTTAAATTGGCATTTTTTTTCAAATCTATTTTCTCCAGAAAACGCACACCACAGATGTGTTTTCTTCTTCTTCTTGGACCACTTCATGCTATACATGACACCTTTACAAGTGTAAAGATCTACCAAGGCAAAGGCTAAGAAATATAAACACAGTCTCATGCCTTAGTCTGAATTTAGTAACATCAGATCTTGCCTCAACAAATTATATGCAGCTGCCATCCTTGTTATCATGAAAACTGGGTATTCACAAAACGTCAATCTTTTACTCCCCCCACCCACCCCATAATGCACATACTGTTGTCTGGCATTTTCATTTTGTTGCTGTTTAGAGATGCAGAAATACAAAGGAGCCATTATTATAAAGCATATTTTAGCATATATTTATAGATCCTGGAGATACAACACACATCCATACAATTTAGAGAGATCAGTCATCTGTCTGTATAATTTGTAATTGTGAAATCTAGCTTCCTCCACTTCTTTTTATTTACTTGGCTGTTCACTTGCCCATGCGCAATTCTGCTTTCAGTCTCTCATTTAAACTCTGCCGTCACCCTTCTTCACATCTCACTTCCATATAAACAACCCTTTTCATCACAGCCAAAGTACAATCTCCAGTCTTCGCTGCAATGTTCCACATTCCTATTGTGAAGTAAGTCCCACTGAAATCAACAAAACTAACTTCTGAGCAATCATGTTTAGGAGTCAGATGTCTAAACCTGATCTTTTTCAAATTAAGGAAATGAATATTTTCTGTTCCTACCTTGTGATTGTCAAAAATGCAACCAAATAAAATAAAACCTTGATGGATTCATTAAAGGGTTGTGGAACAAACATATTAAGAAAAATGGGTTCTCTCTCCTATTTTTAAAGTGAAGAAAAACTATTGAATTTTTATATTACATGAACTGAAAGATTTGGAAACCAGAAGGAATGATACTTCTAAAATCGTAACAAATGTAAATGAAGTCATATAATTCTCAGATTGTTCACTTAGAGGACTTGCCAGCTGGCATACTAACGTTATCTTGTCCTGTAATTGCTGCAGTATACTGAAATATTATCACCACCACCCACTTTTCTACCCCTCCTTCTGTGGAATCCATCATGGTGGAATTTCTAAGCATATTTTATGGCTAGATTTATCCTCCTAGGGCATAATCCTTCTGTTATCTTTGCACAGTTCTCACTCATTCTAAACAGCCTTACAGAAGAGAAGTAGCCTACTCTTCAAAATAATGGTTAACAACAGCTAACTATCCCATTGTGTGTTCTCTGAAAAACACACCATGTTGCCACATGTGTATGTAGGCTTGCTTCCCAGCTCATTTCAGTGGTAAGGATGTATCTGTGAGTGTAAAGGCATGTGTGTGACATGAACAGGTAGCTCCTTATTAGTTTGAACTTCTATGTAGGCGTTGGAGTTCTCATACCAACAATGAAGAATGTACTAAGTATTCTTGCTACTCTTCTGAATGAAATGTTAACATCTTTGTTAGTGTTTGTTGATTTCTTTTTCTAAATTCCAATTCAGGCTGTTCAAGTAGAAAGAAGATCAAATCAGGCACAAGATCCAAAATTAGCATTTTATTCAGAACATTGGGGTCAGGGGTGTATCATTTATATTCTGGTACATAATACAGAGGCAAAGCTGTTGTCAAACATCTCTCTGGTTTAAAAGCTCTTTTTAACATACTGTGTAATTACTTGAGCCATCAGCATCAGGCCACCCCTTGAGGTTTTTTTTTTCCTGTCCTTTTTTGTTTGTTTGTTTTTGGTACAAATTATGTAAAACATTTTGTGCTAAGAACTTTTCTCCCTCCCCAAACAAACAAAACAAAACAAAATTAATAAAAAACAAAATCCAAACCTTGAATACTCTAACTACAGCTCAACAATTGAATCAATGTCACTTGTTTGCAACCTGTTTGTAAATACTTTATCCATAACGAAAGATATAAACATGCAAAAACCTGAATCCATAGTCCAAATAATACATACACATGTTTGGAAGTCTCTGCACTTCTCCATAGACTATGCCAATAAAACATTATGTACACATACTATTTTTACAGTGAAGTGGGAAAAAAAGTATTGGAAAATGATTTTCTTAAAAAAATGTGTATATGGATTAAGACCAAAATGTGTCTAACATTCTATCATAAGAAAAAAAAATCAGTTCTGCTACAAACTGGTGATATGAAAACTCCCTTTATTTGCAACCAGCTGCATAAGTTTTAGAATTTTAGTGAAAAACCCTAACATCTAAAACTAGAAGTATTGTACACTTTTTTTCATGGCCTTCTTTCCCTCCCTTCCCCCAATAACAAAATTTTCCCATGAGGTCCCCCCCTGTCCTTATTTTAATAAAAGCAATGCAGTGTAACAAAAGCATGTAGAAGCATATTGGTGATTTAACTTTCTCCCCACCCCAATGTGGTTTGTTTCATCATTTCATAAATCAGTACCATTTAAAGCCTTAAACATAAAACTAATTCCAATCTGAAAAAGGTACAAAAAGGCACATAAAATCCCAGTGCTTCTGTACTGTAAAATTCAAGTGTAACTGAGCTCAATTGTTTGCTTTCCTTTTCCAAACAGCATTGGATGACTGATATTCCCAGTGAGCCCAAATTGGTTTGCAGCCTATGCCAAAGCCTTCAGCAAGCACTTGTGCTAGTAGACTACAAAGTTAAAGCCTAGCTTCTGTATGCTTGTTGGGAATACCAGTGGAAAGATTTGTACTTGTCCAAAAGCAAAGTTGGCCACCTTGGTATTCAGTCATCGCCTCCACCGTACATGTCAGCAAGTTTCTTGAAACGTGGGCCCCAGTCGTTTAGGTAGTCATAGTCTTGCTCACCACCGCTACTTGAGGAATTGAGGGAGCTCAAAGATCCAGCGGTAGATCCGCTCCCTTCGTAGTCAAAGACTAGGAGGGAGTCATATGGAGGTGCTGTGGGATCGTTGTCTGCTGCTTTAAGTCCCTGAAACAAAAGAGAAAAGGGATAACATAACAGAGGAGAAGATCCTTGTCCTACCTTGTAAAATGAATCTGGGAGAACGCAGAAGAAAACTTTGGAATACCACTGAATGGTCTCCTTAAACTTAATCATCCATCTATGTGTGAAGCAAGTACAGCTGTACACAAAATGTGCATACAGTAAGAAACGTCTGTTAACAAAACACGAAAGCTTTTGCTCATGTGAATTCAGCTTCAAATATGCAAGGCTACATAGTAATACAACATAATAATGCAACTACAGTTTACAAATTAATCAAACAGGCCCATTTTGGACTGTTATCATACACGGCAAGCTCTGTAAATGAAGTTCTCAGCATTAATGATATTCCTAAATGAAACAATTTGTAGATCAAGCTAAAATGGAAGCCTCCAAATGAAACAATCAAAAACCACCACTCCCGTGACATCTACTACAGTAAAATTTTGAAGGGTTGATATGATTGTCTGGATTCAGCACCAGCAGCAGATACAAGAACAGGTGATGGCAAAACAGGCCTGTCTCAATAGCAGGCCTAGGACTGATTAAAGGCAGGCAGAGCTGCAGTAAATTTCTTCCCCCCTGGTAATTATTTGTAATTGTGCAAAGGGTATGTCACAGAAGCAGAAGATAATCTCCATTTGCAGTAATGGAATGGGTATTCACTTTGCATGGGAGTAAAGCAAGGACCACAGCAAATAAATGCTGTGATAGCTCTAAATCTGTAGAATGTTGGATGAGTGGCATCAACTGGTTCTAATTCATTCGTTCAAGTTCTTCAATATACAGCCATTTATAAGTAGCTACAGTCAACATCCTCTTTGTTCAGTTAAATGATAGTTTTTGTGTATCCTTCTGTCCTGAATTTTCATGACAGCAAAAGAGAAGGTCAAACAAGTGAAAATGCTAGCTGCAGTGAACAAGCTGAGAAGCAGAAAGCTTCACTGGGCCAAACCTCAAACAAGATATTTGAAAAGCCTAACCAAATCAACTGAACAGAGAAAAACCACAAAACAACAGCTTAGTACTTCCGTTTTTGAAACAAAACCACACATTTCTCTATTGAAAGGGGGGAAAAATTCCCTGAGCTACTACCTAGTGAGCATCACTGTGCATTGCAGTAGTGGCCTGAAGTACAAGCTGTCATTTCTCTCCTGTTTTCGTGGACTATCAGTATGGCTAGCTTGTGTACCTGGCTCTGGGACAGAAGTTTAACAGGCTTCAGCAAGCAAAATGTATCTTTTTCTAAGGCAGCAGAAGTGTTGTTGTGTGTCAACCATCTACATCAAGAAGGAACCAAACAATCCTCTTACGGCATTTCAAGCTGGGAGTCAGATGCTCCTGGTTCAACATCCACTGCTGGCAGTGGATGATATAAAGCTGCTGGTGCTGTTCAGTTTATAGGATAAAACTGCAATAAAAATTCAGTGTTCCAGAGGCTGCACTTAATGTGCAAACTGTCTGCTGGAGAAGAGACCCTGAAAAGTGGTTTTACAGAAGCATGACTCCACAGATAAAAGTTGCGTCAAAATCTGCATTTATAGCAAAGCAAATATTCCTGTATTTCATAGGCTAAACTGCATAACTTTGTACTCAGATTTAATATTTAGAATACTGCAAGGGACAGCTTAATTTTCTTCCCTGGAGTTTGATAGAGATTTTTATATATTAAATTTTTTTTTAAAGGGGAAATACCTAAAAATAAGCTCCTTTACTGTGTTGTAACCAAGACAACCTATAATACATAACATAAAGGTGTTTGTATTTTATAATTAAATGTAAAAATGCTTTCTGGAAAATAAATGTAACTGATGTGAGTTGACCAGTGTCAAATTATTGTTGTGTGCGGCTGATTGATACTTTCAGCCTACAGTGTAAGAAAGATATTGGTGAGGTAATCTGGGTCAAGTAAAAGCATCCAGCCAAATCTCACACAGATCAACCCCATCTGGTCTGTAAGCACGTGTCTGCACTGAACTTGCTCTCTGTCTGTAGCCAAATCTGAAATATGGGCTGGATGGTCCTGTCTTCAGTTTGTTGGGTAGTAATTTTGTGCGTTTCATTTAAAAATAACAACAAAGGTAGGTAAGCGGACGGACAAAGAAATGGGAGACAAAGCTAGGTAAGTAGAGCTGGAAGCTGGGTAAGCCAGAGAAAGATGGTGATTCCTTCCTTTGATTTCCTTAAAACCTCGCAGAAGTAGGGTTGTAAGCTCTAGGTTGGGAAATACCTGGAGATTTTTGGAGTGGAGCCTGAGGAAAGTGGGGTTTGGGGAGGGGAAGGACTTCAAAAAAAATGCCAGAGAGACCAAGGTCCAAAACAGCCATTTTCTCCAGGCGAACTGATTGATCTCTGTTGTCTGGAGATCAGTTCTAATCCTGGGAGATCTCCAGCCACTGCCTGTAGCTGGGCAACTCTACTCAGGAGTGACCTGGTGCATTTGTTTATTCGTTACATTACATTTATTAATCACCTGATCCCCACCACCGTAGGGCTCTAAGTGATGTACAACATTCTAAAACCACAAAAACATATAAAAACCATATCCAGTATTATACCTAACAAGAGGGTGGACCCGCGATACTCGCGGGGGGGAAAAAACACGAAACTAGCCTCCATGAGATCCCAAACTCGTCTAACCAACAAAACTAGGCACCGTTTAAACATTGTTTTTAATAACACGGCATACCATGTTCATACCGTGTGTGCATACCGCCAACAATCCCCCTTCCCCCGGCTCGAAGCGAGGCCCGAGCGGCTTGCCGCTCACCCTCGCTGCTCTCCCCCCCGCATTCTCCCCCCAGCTCGAAGCGAGGCCCGAGCGGCTTGCCGCTCACCCTCGCTGCTCTCTTCCCCCGAGCGGCGGCGGCGAGGGAGGTCGCAGAGCGTTCCCTGCGCATGCGCAGGGGACGCTCTGTGACTTTTGGGGGGATTTAAGTATCCCCTCGATAGTTTTTAAAAAGTTTTAAGATTTTTGTGCACACCTGGGGACCGCCCCACGTGTACACAAAACTCTCCCTCCCCTCCCGGTCCGCGGATTTAGGTATCCGCACACCAGGGGGCGACTTCAGAATTAGATATATAGATTAAAAGCAAGAGGTGAAAATTTTTGAAGTTCCCTCGCATCTGGTCTGTGAGTACTTTGCACATATGGGGGCGAGTATGCTCCACAGGAACCGGAGTCCCAGGTAGGGTGTCAGCCATGATGTCAATCATCGCTGTCCTCAACCAGACACCTGGAGGAACATCTCCGCCTTGCAGGCCCTGTGGAATTCCATAAGATCCTGCAGAGCCCTGGTGTTATTTGGCAGAGAGTTCCACCAGGTCGGGACCAGGGCCAAAAAGGCCCTGGTCCTGGTTGAGGACAGTCAGATATCTCTAGGGCCAGGAACCACCAGCAAGTTGTTCTGTGAAGAGCGTAGTGCTCTCCTGGAAGTGTAACGGAGGAAGTGGTCCCCTAGATACGTTGGTCCCAGACCGCTCAAGGTCTTGAGGGTCAGAACCAAAACCTTGAACTTGAGTCGGTGCTCCACTGGAAGCCAATGCAGCTGGCGCAGCAAGGCTGAATATGCGCAGACTGTGATGTTTCTGTTAGGACGTGCACCACCACATTTTGGATCAACTGGAGCTTCCAGGTCAGTCTCAAGGGCAGGCCAGCACAGACCGAGTTACAGTAGTCTAGCCTGGAGGTGACCATCACATGGAATACTGTGGCCAGGTCAGAGCGTGACAGGAAAGGGGCCAGCTGCCAGGTTTGGCATAGATGGAAAAATGCCAGCCTGGCTGTATGTGTGATCTGGGTCTCCGTATTAAGGGAGGTGTCCAAGATCACACCCAGGCTCTTGACAGACTGCACTGGTATCAATGGCACCCTGTCGAGAGCCAGTAAGCTGAGCCCAAGCCCTGAAGCCCCTCTCCCCAGCCACAGAACCTCCGTCTTTGTTGGATTCATTTTCAACCTGTTCTTTTTTAACCATTCCACCATGGCCTTCAAACCCATGGCCAGATTCTTTGGGGTAGCATCTGGGTGGCCGTCCAAAAGTAGATACTACTGGGTGTCATCAGCATATTGGTGACACCCAAGCTCGAAGCTCTGTGCCAGCTGGGCGAGGGGGCATATATAGATGTTAAACAACATCAGGGAAGGAAGTGCCACCTGAGAGACCCCAAACTCCAAGGGGTATCTAAAGGACACCTTCTCCCAAAGTGCCACCCTCTGTCCTCAACCATGGGGAAATGTAGTAAGCCATTGAAGGGCTACCCCACGAATTCCTACGTTGGCAAGACGGTGGGTCAGAAGATCATGATCGATCTAATAACAATAGCAGCGCTGACCCGCCTTGATCCAGCTGTTTATGGAGATCGTCTGCCAGGGTGATCAACACCGTTTCCATCCCATGGTCAGGGCAGAAGCTGGACTGGAATGGATCCAGTGCTGACATCTCATCCAGGAAACCCTGGAGCTGTTCAGCAACCACTTTCTCATGTACCCTGCCCAGGAATGACAGATTTGAAACTGGGCAGTTATTGGTAGGATCCTAAACCAAGGACATTTTCTTGTAACACAAACTCTACAGTGATGAGATGCCTCATCCCCAACAAAGTCTTTATGCTCTGTTCTAAACAGCAGTATGGGCTTCACTGGCCCTGTGAGTATAAGTAAGCTGTGCGCTTGGACTGGATCTAGAGCTGTCATAATGCCTTTCACTGTAACAACACTGTAACATGGTGATGGAATCTCTATACCTATTATAACGGATTTTGGTTTACATATCTCCATCTTATTTTTCCCCACAGAATTTACTTTCACTTTTCTTATACTGCTTATCCAACACATGTTGATTACTTAGGTATCAAATGACTGACAGTGCAACATTAATTAGAGTTACACCCTTGTAAGTCTACTAATAAAGAGTTCAATCTTACCATTTATGTTTTAATTTATATTCTTATTTCTTCTTCTGTTCAACATTAGTATAGTTGCCAAAGGAGATCAGATCAAAGCTTATCTCTTAAAATTCTATTAAATCGGGCATTATCTCTGGCCCCAACTCCTGCCAACCTAGCAGTTTGAAAGCAAGTAATTGCAAGAAGATAAATAGGTACTGCTTTGGTGGGAAGGTAATAGTGTTTCATGAGCCTTGGGGTTTAGTCGTGCCCACCACATGACCATGGAAATGTCTTCAGGAAACGCTGGCTCTTCGGCTTGGAAACGGAGATAAGCACTGCCTCCTAGAGTCAGATTCAACTAGCTTTCGAGCAAGGGAAACCTTTACCTTTATATTTTGCCCAACGTTAAAAATAACATACAAGCTAGTGAACACTGTGGAATCCAATACTACCTTTAAAGTCATGTATCTTGGGCCTGTTTTTATGTACAAAGATACTTAAAGCTCTACAGCTAATTGAGCCTTTAACATATTCATATAACATTTTGCTGCTCTTTCACTGTAACTTATTTGATGGAACCCTTTTGCTCTTTTTTTAGAGTATTGAATTTCTACTATTCTTGGGATTCAAAGGGTGACGTATGAAGAAAATCTAAATGAACTTGCTCTATTATGAATGGGAATTAATATATTCATTTAGGCTAAACTATCACTTTGTTAGCCTACTTATTATGTGGAACTCAGTGTATAATCCCTCTTGGAGATATTGTGGTTAAGAACGATAACTTATTACAGATGTAATTAATACCAATGCACAAAAGTTAATTGATGCATTTTCCTTTTTCTGTATGAATGATTTAATTACATTTTCCTGTGCTTAAAAATATTTTCAAGCCTATCAGCCCAGATACTTTGAATTGTATGAGCAACTTTTTAAAAATTATTATTCTTTGGATGTAACAACCATTCATTATATGTGCAGATGGTGTGTAATAAGCTGCTCAAACAAATCTTTTCTTCCTCCTCCTCGTTTTACCTCATTAATAAAGTCCCCAATGTCTCCAGGATGCGGTGCCGCTGATCTGACTGGATATTGAGGTTCTGCATGGATAGGCCTTTCATCGAGTCGTCTTATTCCAACAGGTTTGATGGCATCTGGTTCTATAGTATCGGGTTGCTGGAGCTGGCTCAAGTCGTAGTCCTGGAAATTAATACAAAACCAAAATGGATTGGGATTTTAACAATAGAGGGGGGGGGGATCTCCTGTCCCTCCAAAAAAAGACTCCTACTGAACAGTGAGAACTATTCTTTATCTTTACCATTTGTTCCTCCTACACAAATACAATGCCAGGCACTATCTTTTTGAGATACAAATAGGGATGAAATTCCATAGATCTGAAGAGTATCTTCAAACAACACATGCTAATTTCATAAATCTATTATATCATGAAAACCAACAAGGAAAGCAATACGAACAGTAAAAGACTTTCTTGTTTGGCCTTAATTCTAAGCATTTTTCTGACTGATGATTAAACATATTCTGCAGATGGCATACACTGGAGAGTTCTTAAAGAACTCAGATGTGAGATGGTTGATCTACTAACCAGTATATGTAACCTATCACTAAATTCAACCACTGTACCAGAAGACTGGAGAATAGCAAATATGACACCAATTTTTAAAAAGGGATCCAGAGGGGAACCAGGAAATTACAGGCTATTCAACCTAACGTCTATCCCAGGCAAATTAGTAGAAACTGTAATCAAAGATAGAATTGTTAGGCACATAGAGAGACAAAGCATGCTGAGGGGAAATCAGCATGGCTTCCGCAAAGGGAAGTCCTGCCTCACTAACCTTTTGGAGTTCTTTGAGAAAGTGAACAAGTATGTAGACAATGGGGATCCGGTAGACATTATATACCTGGACTTTCAAAAGGTTTGACAAGGTACCTCACCAAAGACCCCTGAGTAAATTTAGCAGTCATGGGATAAGAAGACAGGTTTTCTTACTGATTAAAAACTGGTTAAATGACAAGAAGCAAAGAGTAGGAATCAATGGACAGTTCTAACAATGGAGGGAAGTAAGCAGGAGGGGTCCCACAAGGATCAGTATGGGGTGGTACTATTTAATTTATTCATCAGTTATCTGGAACGATGGCTGAGTAGTGTACTGGCCAAGTTTGTAGATGACACCAAATTATTCAGGATGGTGAAAACCAAGGCTGACTGTGAAGAGCTCCAAGAGGACCTCCCCGAACTGGGTGAGTGGGCAACAATGTGGCAAATGAAGTTCCGTGTTTGTGAGTGTAAGGTGATACAGATTGGGACAAAAAATCCCAACTTCAAGTATAGGCAAATGGGGTCTGAAACTGCTGAGACTGAGAGGGAAAAAGATATTGGGATCATGCTGGAAAGCTCAATGAAAGTGTCAACCCAGTGTGCTGCAGTTGTGAAAAAGGCAAACTTTATGTTAGGGATTACTAGGAACAGGACTGAGAATAAAACAGCCAATTTTGTAATGCCCCTGTATAGATCTATGGCGTGGCCTCATTTGGAATATTTTGTACAGTTCTGGTCACTGTATCTCCAAAAGGACCCTGCAAAGCTGAAAAAAGGAATTAGTAGGCACATAGATGAACAAAAGCTATTGAGGCAGACTCAGCACGGTTTCTGTAAGGGAAGATCTTGTCTCACTAACCTGTTAATGTTCTTTGAGGGGGTGAACAAACATGTGGACAAGGGGGATCCAATAGATATTATTTACCTTGACTTCCAGAAAGCTTTTGATAAAGTTCCTCATCAAAGGCTCCTAAGTAAGCTCAAAAATCATGGGATAGAAGGACAAGTCCTTTTATGGATCAAAAACTGGCTAGTTCATAGAAAACAGAGAGTGAGTGTAGGTGGGAAATTTTCTCAGTGGAGGGTGGTAAGCAGTGGGGTACCGCAGGGATCAGTACTTGGTCCACTGCTTTTTAACTTGTTCATTAATGATTTGGAGATGGGAGTAAGCAGTGAAGTGGCTAAATTTGCGGATGATACAAAGTTGTTCAAGGTGGTGAAAACCAGTGAGGATTGTGAGGCACTCCAAGGGGATCTGTCAAGGATGGGCGAGTGGGCGTCAACATGGCAAATGGGGTTCAATGTGGCCAAGTGCAAGGTGATGCACATTGGAGCCAAAAATCCTAAATATAAATACACATTGATGGGGTCTGAACTGGCAGAGACTGAGCAAGAGAGAGATCTTGGAGTTGTAGTGGATAACTCACTGAAAATGTCGAGACAGTGTGTGACTGCAATAAAGAAGGCCAATGCTATGCTGGGGATTATTAGGAAGGGTATTGAAAACAGATCAGCCAATATAATAATGCCCCTATATAAATCAATGGTGAGACCTCATTTGGAATACTGTGTGCAGTTCTGGGCACCACACCTTAAAAAGGATATTATAGCTTTGGAAAAAGTGCAGAAAAGGGCAACTCGAATGATAAAAGGGTTGGAACACTTTCCCTATGAGGAAAGGTTAAAGCGCTTAGGGCTCTTTAGCTTGGAGAAAAGACGACTGAGGGGTGACATGATCGAGGTTTATAAGATTATGCATGGGAAAGAGCAGGTAAAGAAAGAGGTACTTTTCTCCCTTTCTCACAATACAAGAACTCGTGGGCACTCCATGAAACTGCAGAGCGGTCGGGTTAGAACGGATAAAAGGAAGTACTTCTTCACCCAAAGAGTGATTAACACATGGAATTCACTGCCACAGGAAGTGGTGGGTGCTACAAGCATGGACGGCTTCAAAAGGGAATTAGATAAGCATATGGAGCAGAGGTCCATCAGTGGCTATTAGCCACAAGGTATAGCTAGGGGCTCTGGGGCAAGTGATGCTCTGTCTTCTTGGTGCTTGGGGGGGGGGGTCAACAGTGGGAGGGCTTCTAATGTCCTGGCCCCACTGCTGGACCTCCTGATGGCACTGGTATTTCTGGCCACTGTGTGACACAGAGTGTTGGACTGGATGGGCCTTTGGCCTGATCCAACATTGGCGTCTCTTATGTTCTTATGTTCTTAGGAGGGCAACCAAGATAATTAGAGGGTTGGCGCACCTTCCCTATGAGGAAAGGAAAGAAAAGAGATGACTAAGGGGAAGCATGATAGAAGTTTATAAAATTATGTATGAGGTGGAGAGAGTTGACAAAGAGAACTTTTTATCCCTCTTCCAAAATGCTAGACCTCAAGGGCATCCAATGAAACTGATGGGCAGAAGGTTCAGGATGGACAAAAGGAAATGCTACTTTACACAGAGAGTGATTAAAATGTGGAATTCTCTGCCAGAGGATGCAGTGATGGTCACAGAAATGAACAACTTTAAAAGGGATTTAGATAAGATTCATTTAGGATAAGTCTATCAGTGGCAACTAACCATGGTGACTGAGGGGAACCGCCACATTCAGAGGCACTAATCCTCTGAATCCCAGAGCCAGGAGGCAACATCAGGGGAAGGCTTTGGCCTCAATGCCCTGTTGTTGGCCCTCCAGGGGAACTGGTTGGCCACTGTGTGAGACAGGATGCCGGACTAGATGGACCACTGGTCTGAACCAGCAGGGCTCTTATGTTCTTATTTAAGCTTGAAGCATATTTGCCATGTTTGAAGGAGTGAAACATTTTAAAGTATTTAAATGTTCCTGCATTTAAGCTAACAGTTCTGACTAGAGATGGGCATGAACTGGGAAAATGGTGATTCATGATTTGTGAGAAACCATGTACCACAGTTTGCAAACCTCCACAAACTTTTTGGTTTGCTGAAACAGTTCGTTGTTTGTTAGGTTCATGACTGAGTATCCAAAAGATGCTCCTGGGCACCCTCTGCAACGTCCGGGGTCCGCTTCTTGACCCACCTTCTCTGCCGCCATGAGCAAACTGCCCTTCCTTTTGCCCTCTGGATCAGCACCTTCCCAGGGTGCTGCAGACCCCATTCTTTCACTGATTACACATCCTGGTCCTCCTCTACCACCTCCAAGGGTTGGCCTGCTGGCACAATCCCCTCAACCAACGGCAAATTCACTGTACCCCCTTTTCCTTGTTGACAGCTTTCTTCACCTGCGTCAAACCCCACCATTCCAGGGTGCTGGGGTCTGGACTGAGTATCCAAAAGGTCTCGCTGGGCCCCCTCTCCAACATCCAGGGGTCCGCTTCCCAACCCTCCCTTTGCTGCCGCCATGAGCAAGCCGTCCCTCTAACAGATACAAGCCAGTTCAGTGATACCTTTTGTCCGTCCCCCCCGGAAGCTGCCACAACTTTTGCAAGTGAACTCAGAAGTTATTTAAATGCCTTCTGAGCTCAGTGAAGAATCATGTGGTGGTGGCACAGCCCACCATTGCCTTGGGAGCCAGCAGGTCTGGCCCATGAACCCAAACCGAACAAACCAAAACCCAGGCTGGTTCATGGGCAGTTCACGAACAACGCGATTGCCCAAATTGCAGTTCACAATCCAACAAACCAGACTGGTTCATCAAGAAATTTGGTTTGTGGCCATCCCTAGTTCTGACTGCAGGCTACCTCATGGGCCTTGAAAGTTGGGAGTGAGTCCAGCAACATTTGGTGGCTATATTTTTGCAGGAGAGAACTGCCAGAAAAGTTCTTGAGGAGTCAGTGCTGAGTGACTTTCTGGTGACACTGACTTGATGGTGACCCTGAATGCGATAATTACCAAGACAATCCTACATCATGAGTAACATCAAAACAATACCGTTTCTTAAACACCAAAGATGATTGTGTCAATTGCTTTTATTCAGGCCTGTAGCTACAGTGGGGCCCCCTCGAGGCCTGCCCCCCTGACTTACTGCCAAGGCCCCATGACTTCCCATGCAGCCCAGGCCCCCCAACTTCCTATTTTTTAATTTTTTTGGCATGCTTCCCTCTTCTCCTGCCACCACCTGCCCTCTTTCTCCCACCCCTGCAGCGCTGCCTGCTGCCTTTCTTTGCAGCCTGCTCTGATCATGGCAGGCCACCAAGCGCTCTTCAGCTGGCATTCTCTCTGCAACCCCCCCCCTCCACCTTCAGATGAGCTCCAGGGTGTGGAGCCCGGGTGCTAGCATGAAGTACTGGGTGAGCAGGCAGGGCAAGGCACTATTGCTTCCCTGCTCCATTCCCCCCACCCTGCTCCTGAGAAAGCAGAGGATGCCCCCCGATGCCCCTCCTTAGAGTCAAGGCT